AACTAAAACTTACTAAATATAAATCCAAAAGGGGAAACAAGGAGCCACGAGGAAAAACAAAGGAAACACGAGTAAAGGTCTGGCATGGCGAAAATCTAAAGATTACCTGACAACAAGAGGGAAGGAACACTAGACAGGGGTAATCAGACACAGGTGAGACTAAAGACACAGTTGAAGACAATGAGGGCAATCAGGACTGGAGGGAAACACACACAGGCAGGAAGAAAATACAGGAAACACTGAGGACAACTACAAAATAAATCATGAAACACTGAAGGCACACAGAACTCAAGAATGTATTAAAAATACAAAATGAACAAAACACACAACACTAGGATAGACAGAAGAAATTGAAACCTAAACTCTGAAATACACAAAACTAAATAAGACCAAATCATGACAGGTCTTCTCTTAGTTGTTCCCAAAAGCCTCTGGACTACATTCATGGCCTTTTTTTCCTTACGTCACTCAGGTCACCTGAGGAGTGATTCAGATCATCCTCCTTCTTCACAAGAGCACTCACTCAAGTCCATTTGGCAACCTGCATCTAATTAGAATATATTTGGCGAAGAGAATAAGAGAAAGAAAGAAAGGTTAGTTCTATGATTTACAAATTGTATTTATTAAAGCTGGTCAGGTGGTAGTGATTTGTGTTAAATTCTCGTATTTTTCAGGATTTGAGCGGTTGGAACAGCCGTGAACAGGAGTCTCTTCCTGTCCCACATCTGGAGATGTTACGGTGATGTTACGTCAACTGCAAACAATATATTGGACCACGTTCACAAAGCTGATGTTCGTGCACTCCAACATCTACTTTACGGAGTGACAGTTGCTGCTGCTGCACGTACATTGCACAACACAATTTGTCCTTCACAATGTCTCAGCCTCTAGTCAATCTCTGTAAAAAGCTAGCTGAAGGCAAATCTGCTTTAACAAAACTATCAGTCTCCAATCAACATGGCAGCTACATGAATACCCATGGCATCGCACCAAAGCTGAAATGGTTATCTCTGAGAAGCTCAAAAAATGCATGTTTTCACTGAATGGGGGATGAAGGAGCCTGAAAATGGACAAAATTCTCAACATTCTTCTTCACTTTTTTGACGATGATGCAGTAAAAGCAACAACACAACATCTTACAAGCGGGAAAGTAAATATTGCCAACACATCATCTCTTGTGCTGGAACTAAGATATCCCGCAGCCTGATGGGTTTTGACAGGAGACAAGTCACCAGTATATCAGGGAAAATGTTGCAGTGGTGAGAGGAAAGAAGACTGCACTTGAAACTCAGGCTAGGAAGGAGAACCTTCTTGACATATCTGGAGACACTGTTCATATGGTAAGCAATGACGCCAAGGCCCTCATGAGCACGTTCAATGCAGAGGTTAAATAGTTCTGCTCTGATATCTATTACTATATTGAAACGCCACCAAAAAAGAAACACATTTTTGCAGAGTTTCAGTGTCTGCTCCATTTCCATTTCAAGAACCACAGTTTTAACAGGGGAGAGTCAGCTAACTCTGCTTGAGTGAAAACTGTGAGTCAGGTAAACTTGCCATATTAAGTACTCAAAAGTTTCAACAAGTTATGTCTTCCCTTCATGAAAACGAGGCCCTCTTTTGTAGAGATTCACTTCTCTATAACCACACCTGTACTAAAATGGTGGATGGAGGTGTAAATATTTTTTTAGATTAATTCAGTGTGACATTATTTTGGTTTGTTATTAACATTGAACATAATCCAGAATTTGATCATTATTATTATTTTTAAAGGTTTATTTTTGTGCTTTTTGTGCCTTTAATGTAGAGATAGGACAGTGGATAGAGTTTGAAATTGGGGAGAGAGAGTGGGGAATGACATGTGGGAAGGGAGCCACAGGGGGGTTTGGACCTGGCCTGCCCGCTTGGAGCCGCCACGCATGGGGCGCGCGCACAAACAACTGCGCCACCCGCGCCTCCAGAATTTGATTAATTTCTGACATATGGTCACGTAGTGAAGACATGATCTTTATTTCTGGGTTCCTTTTTTGTTTGTTTATTTATTGAAGGGGGGTCGGGACAATTTCACTGACAGACACACTTGAACCAGCCTGCACCCGCACTGAGCACTGATACAGTACGCTGCATGGAAATAATTGCCAACATCCAGACCCCGCTGAACACAGCGATTGTCTTCAGTGGCTCCGTGCAACACAACAAAACTCCCATTTAAAAAAATTCCGATCCCGTAATCACAACCGGTGAACCGCATGTGGAGAGATTTCTGCAACAAAAAGCTGCACAAAACAGGAAAATAGACCGTTTGTAGTATTGTGTTTTGCTCTCTGGTCCCCTACATATAAGTATAAAGTCATGTGATATACCACGTGAGGGGCACTGAGTGACGGAGATCAACCTACTAGTTCAATGGTCTTAAATGCTGATCATATGGGCGGAAAATATACCTGGCGCGCCTAGCATACCATGCAGCATCACTAGATCCCACAGCTCGAGTGTTGCCAAAACCCACAATGTTTCTGATTGGCTAGCAACGTTTGATTGTTGAGAACGAGAGCTGCATTACTTGCAGAAAGTTGATAGGTGAACTCTATTGAGCCGAACTTCATCAAGCACATTCACAGCAAATTACCACATGTATTTATTGTTGTTATATATATTTTTTCCACTCACGGCCTCATGCCGGAGATCTTAAGTACTTTAAGCCCTGTTTTAGTCTGTAAGGCTTTTAAGTTCCATCATCTACAGTGTGTGGCCAGGTGGTAATACATGAAGGTTATATAGTTTAATCTTTATCATTCATTACTGTGGAGCGCAGTTTGGAACCTACTTTTCAAAATAACAACAAATAAGGAGGGAAAGATAATCCCATGCTAGTTTCATTATATAATAACCTGTTTAAATGTAGTTGTCAGTAGATCTTATTTAATTCTCTCATTTTTAAACAAAATCTGAAGTTTATGGACATGTCGAAAAATAAGAAAGAAATCATTTGAACAAAGAAGCTTAATGTCCCATGAATTATTCTGATGTAGATTTTCCTATATTCCATTAATTTCTTTCACAAGTGTCCATTGTTGAAAATGCCCCAGAAGACAATTACTGACTGTGTCGAGTGTGAGTGTGTGAGTGTGTGTGTGTGTGTGTGTGTGTGTGTGTGTGTGTGTGTGTGTGTGTGTGTGTGTGTGTGTGTGTGTGTGTGTGTGTGTGTGTGTGTGTGTGTGTGTGTGTGTGTGTGTGTGTGTGTGTGTGTGTGTGTGTGTGTGTGTGTGTCAGGGGTATTGACATTCCAGCAGAGGGAGTTCTGACCAAGCAATCTGATTGGACAAGAGACATTCCATGAGTGCTGATATGAAGTAAAGCATTGCTTGGACTTTTCACAGTATGCATCAATGTTAAACAACATTTCAGGAGTAAATGAATCATATATATATAAGTATCTTTTACATTTGATATTGATTTATTGTCAGATAATCTTTTTGCCCTTGAGATCGACAGGCTGTTCGAAGATGTCTGCCCTGAGCAGATACTGGTGGAGGTGTTAGCTGAGGATGTTGTCTGAGGAGGTGAAGAGGCTGACCAAACTGCAAAGAAGCTGATGATGTGATCTGACGCTGATGGGATGAAGGGTTACTCTGATGATACCTCAGAATCACACAACTAACCCTAACCCATCATTTCTCTGGTCGCATGATAAATTCAAACATTGTGCTCAGCGTTAGTTCAAGCAGGAAGACTGGTTTTACAGTATTATCTCACATGTATTCAATTTAGCCACTCCCTCTCTTCCACCTCATCCGTCTCCCTGCTCTGGTGATCAGCTGATTTGGGGCGTTTACTCTTTAAGTAATAATCCAACCTGACTCACAACCTCTCTCCACCAATCATCCTGCAGCTGTCAAATTTTAAGTCTTTTGCAGTCTATTGTTTGCAGTCTTTAGTTGGGGGGTGAAAAAAACAGTCTTTACTCTTTAAGCAGACAGAATCCAAAAAAGTGATCAAAGAGGAAACAAAAGGCTTCAACGCTTCTCACAGGGGTCAAAGACGACCTGGCACAGAAGGAAGGGAAGCTACAGACTAAATACTAGGGTGAGGGGGAAGACAACAAGATGCAGCTGGGAACAATCAGGGCGGGGCAGACAATCACACAGGTGGGAAACACATGAGGGCGGGAAGTGAAGGATCTGAAACGAGAGGAGAAATTAGTGACCCAAAACAGGAAATAATACAAGATAGAAATAAAAACAACCTAAGACACTGAGCTGGACATGACACCGGGCAAGTTGATCTCAGAGTCTTTCTGATCATTTTGACTTGCATGGGTCATTAAAGATTGAATTACAAAATGATCAACCTTCATGGGTTTACAAGTAACTCAAAGCAGAATTTCAATTATAGAAATGTATGATTTCATTGTAAAATTACACATTATTTACACAGCATTGTCTCCAAAAAATGTCTGCGGCCCAGGTTCGAATCCCGCCTGTGGCTCCTTTCCCGCATCCCCCTCCTTCCCCCCATTAAAGGCACAAAAAGCCCCAAAATAAATCTTATAAAACAATTAATAAAAAAATGTCAAAGACAACACTGATTTTCAGAATAAGCTTGTTTGAGACAATGATCCTTCTGGAAACACAAGAGCTGAAAATCAATCGAAAGGATTTCAACCTTATGCTCCAACTTACTGTATATTTCCATTCATTTTATTTGAGATCTATTCACTTTAAATTGATAAGTATTCCTTCTTGTCACGTCACTATTGATGTTTATCCGCTTAATGCAAGGACATAGATTGTAGTTTGTGGTATGCACTGGTCTGTTTCTGTTTGTAACAGATAGTGATAAACAAACATGTCCTGTAAAGTATCAGTAAAACAATAAACTGCACGGTGTCCTCCTGTGTGGACACAGCCATGCCCTTTTTTTTTATGCGCCCACGTCACCTGTAGAGGTCCCCCTTCCACCAGATGCACGCGCACCTTTGTTGCACCTCCTCCTCTGGCTCCAAGCAGCGGAGCGCGGGGCAGGACGTTTTCAGAGGAAACACCCGCAAGAGCTGAGGGTGAGCTCAAGGAGAGAGTCACAGAGGATGCTGCAGCTGACGCGCGGGACTCTTCACTGCTCTTCGCGCTATAGGCCACCTACTGTGAAGTCCATCCGGTTCGTCTCAGAGATCTCCGCGGTCCCCCTTGTTCTCCTGCGTGGGTTTGTCCTTGCTGCATGCCGGGATGCCCACCGCACCTCTCCTCGCGCTCTTCTCCGGTAAGTTCCTCCGCGTGCACCGCTGCTGAGCTCAGCTGAAAAACCCCCCTGTGTGTAGGTGTGTGTGTGTGTGTTGGTATGTAGATGTGTGTGTGTGTGTGTGTGTCTGTGCGTGAGAAGTGATATATGACCATAGAGATATGAGAGTGATGTGGTTGAATTAGAAGTTGTAAACAGTATAAAGGCTGCGTTCTGTATATAAATCAATAAATCATTGTCATTGTTAAAATGGGCATGTGATTGGAAAAATTGAGCTTTAATTGAGCTAATGTGTGTGTGTGTGTGTGTGTGTGTGTGTGTGTGTGTGTGTGTGTGTGTGTGGTGTTTGTGTGTGTGTGTGTGTGTGTCTGCTCCACTTCGGCTTTCAGCTCAGTGCAGTCTTTAAAGAACTGTTTTACCTGACCAGGACCAACTTCCATGTTGTGTAGGTTCAAGCCCCCTCTGTGGACAAAAGCAGTTCACTGTGTGTGTGTGTGTGTGTGTGTGTGTGTGTGTGTGTGTGTGTGTGTGTGTGTGTGTGTGTGTGTGTGTGTGTGTGTGTGTGTGTGTGTGTGTGTGTGTGTGTGTGTGTGTGTGTGTGGATCTGTTTTGGAAGTGAGACATCTGTAGTAATCACAGCTGTCTGCATGTCAGAGTACTGAAACATTTGTGGTCATTGGGGGGGCTTTGGACTTGGTTGATAACCTGGACTGTTCAGGATCCATGTTTAAATACGGTTATTAAGAAGATGTACTTGCCTGAGGGTTTGGCTGGTTCAAGATGAGAGGTGGGTGCACTGATGGTGAAAATCAGTCCTGATACTAACACTTTGTTTACAAGAAGAACCAAGGTTTATTCATTCCTTCTTTGTAACTCTGTCTTTCAAATGAGCAACGTGCTGGATGTAATTAATGTGTCCTTAGTCCCTCCTCTTGAAATGTCACTGGAACATGTCTTACAAACATGTCAGTGATCTTTCCCAGAGATGGTGTAAGACTCCAAAAACATTTCATTCACATTGGGCCATGAAAACAAATCAGAATTGGCCAAACTGGAGACTTCTTCTGCCCTCTACAAAAACCTCTTCTGCAAAGAGTAGGCTACATGTTACCTCAGTTCTGAGGTAAACAAATGGACTTTTGAGTGGTTCCTTTTGTCTTCAGATAAATAAAACTTGCAATAGTTCTGACCAAGCTTTCATAGATCTATCTTTTATCTCTTATCAGTCATTTAAAAGTCATTTATTTTAGCGACCAAACTGAAGATCAGTGTTTAACGGCATTCTCTGTCTTTGCTGCTGTCTCCTTCTCAAGTTTGTCAGGTGATTGGAAGATGCTGAAGCTTCCTTCAAGTCCTCTTATTCTTCTCCAGGTCCATGATCATTAACAAGGTGTATAACCGGTGTTTTGGCTATCGCTAACTTAGCTTTCCAACTGTATGCACTTGTTAAACATCTTCTCCAGAAGCCATTCCAAACTGATGCATCTGCACGGTAGTTGTGTTTTGTGCTTGATGCTTTGAATATTAACTTTCTGAAATGATTGTTTTGTATTAAACGTGAAACTCAGCAGGCATTGTATCTTAAGCCGTTATTATACAAAGTTTCTGTTTGTTGATATTCTGTGGCTATTGCACGTCACTTCCTTTTGACTTTTTGACGAAACTCAACATCCGCCATATTGCTTGGTAGCTATGCTAACAGGCTCTGTGGACAAAGCTGAGAAGAGCTCGGCTACTGTGGCTGCTGCAGCCGAGGCACGAGACCTGACTGTCGGCGGCGGTGAGGACGAGGAGCCCGGGCCGGCTCGAGCTGGGGCGGACTGGTAGTGTCGGTGCTCTCACTGTTTGTCTATGGACACAGACATAGAGTCTGTTTTCTGCCAGGAATTTCCAAGATGCCAATTCCTTCCGGAAGAAATCTCGGAATCAGTTGAGGAAACGGCCGTATGTGTTGTTGTCTGTAAATATAGCACCCTAGCTTTAGTGTGAGTGGCCTGCAGTGCTGTGCATTCTGGGAGTTGGTGTCTTTCATCCACGAGACAAAAAGACACTTTCTGCCTTTTCTCGGTCAAGAAGGCACCAACTTCAAAATGTATTTCACATTTCTACTACGTATATGACCCAATGTCAGTACAGATTCATGTTTCAACGGGTGAAGTAACCCTTTAACTGATGCACTACTGGTGCATCATAATTCATAATCAGATTATAAGAGTTACATGAGGAATGTACACCAAACTGTTCTAGCCAGTTTGGACGCCTTGTCTCAGGGGAAGTTTTTAAAATGTTGGAAGAGGACTGGACAACTAGAACATTTATAATCTAAATAAAGTGTGCTATTAGATGAAAAAAAGTAAACTAGTTTTAACGTTATTCCTCGTCTGATTTAGCCTTTCCACTGAGCCAAAGTCAGCCTGTGATTGAAGGAACATTAGAGTGACCTCCATGGAATGTACACAGCAATGTCTCATAATGTGTTTGATAAATAAATCAGACATTTGTACAGAACAGCTGTTCTAGTAGGAGAGAGTTGTGCATGATCAGTTTCTGACCAAGGTTTCGACCTGCATGGTGACAGCGCTGACTAATATCAGAAATAACAATACTTCACACTAATGGTCTGCCTTGCTGCTGCACTGTATGTCATACAGAGATATCAGCCAGCTACAAGCATCCCATTTAAATGTTTTGACCAGCCATAATACTCTTTTTATGTAGTTTTCTTAGTCCCTGGAACATTGTTGAAACTAAAAGCTTTATATGTTCACATTGTTACAGTGTCACAAAATAACTCTTCTATGGCAGTGTGAAACAAATCTATAAATATGTGTAATGTGCCTGCTGTACAAAGTTTGAAAAGCTTCATCATCAGCCTATCAGCCTGTGTGTGCGTGTGTGTGTGTGTGTGTGTTGTGTGTTTGTGTGTGTGCATGTGCTGTGACATCAAATCAGTCCAGTTGTCCAGGGGTGATGAGGGGGTTCGTTAGTTGCATTATGGGAGTGAGTGAGATGGGCCGGGTTGTAGCTGATGGCAGTGCCTGTGTCCTCTCTGCTGCAGAAAAAAAAGAAATCTCACTTGTGACACATTACAATCAGCTGAATGAACGAGAAAAAAACCAGAGCTAGCCTGCTGTTCTTTATGAAAAATGTTTCTTTCAAACAGCATATTATATGGAAGTTTTTATTCTTACGTAATCCTTTCATCCTTGATGTTTCATATCCCTTAAGTCTGTGTCATTTCAAGTTTAAAGGTCAGGGAATAATAGATCTTAGAATTGAGTCATGCTTTGAAAAGGGGAATAATGTCACTTTTATTTCAAAACTAAACACAAGAACAGAAGTTTTGTGTACTCTGAATATTTGTTGAGCTTGGTGAAGTCTTCTAAAACGTGTTCAACAGTTTGATCTACAGTAACCTCATATAGTGCCTAATACTGTCTTAAACGTTGAACTTTAAATGTTTCATATCCTTCAAATCTGTTAAAATTATGTTTAATTCATGTCACTGGGGATGCAGCAATTTGTTGGCATTGTCTACAAAGATTTAGAACAAAATTAGTTGCAGAAGAGTTACATTTTCAATTCCGGGGGAACAACAAAATCACACGGGAATAAAGAAACCATTGTGCAAACAGCAGATTACTTTGGCTTTCTGAGGTTGATTTGCTGTTCATCCGTTGCCCGTTTTGACATAATGTTGATAAAGTGATTGGATACACAACCTGGAGTCTGTAAATTGTGTCTTATTTTGAAGTTTACTGGATGCTCTATGCATTCCCTTTTCTGACTTCCCATCCATTTCGATCTGCTGTTCTTACCTTGCTGCATGCTTGCATTGGGCCACGTTGAAAAAAGGCTCTGAGCATAATTGAAGCAGAGCAGAGTGGTGCTTCTGGTACGCACCAGAGACGGACCAGTAAAAACATGACCATTGACTAGAAAGGGATAGATCAGCTGTGGTATGCTCAGCAAGTACCGTACATGGTGCACATGTGTGTTGGTAGATTTCCTAACTTGTGTGAATATGTAAGGTATGAGGATTTTATCCCATTTACAATTTCAGGCCCTCATCTTAAAGTTCATATAATATCCTCCTTTTCAACAAGTTTAAATAATTTGAGCCCATCTCGACTGGCTTGGTTGACCTGGGCTCCCCCAGCTGTGGGAGTGTCCCCCACCTGGTTGAGGGGTTATTGCCCTTTTTGATGTCACAAGGGGAACATCTCCAAATGGCCTGTTTGAGCACACATTTTCTGAAAAGTAGAGCAGGCAAAAGACGAATAGGATGGATTTTCTCATAAATGGGGTGTTCGTAGACAGGCTAGGGACACATATAAGTGTTTGAAAAAACATAGTGAATTGTATTTTGCATATGTGACCTTTAAAATCTTTCCTCTAGAACACTTCATCTATTTATCTCCTTCTTATCTCTTTTTCTTCTTCCACTCCTCACTAAACAGTGGAGCAAACTCTTACCATGTTACTATATAAACTAAGCTACACATTAAAACTAAATCATCTGTCTTAATACCCAGATGTGCGTTGCCTATTTTGAGTATGACAGAGTAATGTTGAATTTTAAATCTGATAGTTAAATAATAGCCATTAACTATGCAAAACATTATCAGATTTGTGAACTAATTGTTTCAATAATCAAAGACTAGTCGACCATCAAAATAGTAGTTAGTTGCAGCACTTTATGTGACTCTAGCTTTAATGACTTTAATCTGATATCAGTTTTTACAGGATCAGTTTGTGTCCATCCTTAGGAGGATTATGACGGTCATGATAACGTGTGGTGGAGGTAGCTGACTGTGGTTGTGCTAATGTTGCGACCAGCCTGCAGATGCGCTGACCTTCAAAATAAAAGTAACACAGAGTCTGAGGCACAATCTCGCCATTTGAAGATTCTTACGAGACTTTGTTGTCCACACTCAAAACTGCAGACGCAGTGTGAGTCAGAGTGACTGATGTCCTGATGGTGTCAGACTGAGCAAAGGTTTTGTGCAGGATGTACGAGT